TGGCTGCCGGCCGCCATCTTGGTTGGGTTAATTTACATATAGTTGCTCTGATTGGCTGGTGGGTGTGGCTTAAGGCGTAGCGAAAGTACGGTCAATTTGCGTGTTTGTCTTTTATTAGTATAGGATTATATTTATATACTGGAGGCCCGGTGCATGGATTCATGCACTGGTGGGGTCCCTTGGCCTGGCCTGTGCCCTCTCGCAATCCGGGACCCTCGGGGATGTCGGAGAGCCAGTTTTGGCCCAATCCCCACAGGCCAGGCCAAGGGACCCCACCGGTGCACAAATCCATGCACCGGGCCAGTTTCAGCCAGATCCCCACAGGCCAGGCCCAGGAAAATGCACCAGGCATATAAGATCTTTGGTTAATCTCTTTCCACCCTTTACCCTTACCCCTTCCCTCTGAGATTCATCAGTCTGTCCCATGTTTCCATGCCTGTGCGTTGAGCGTCTGCCCCCTGGTGGTCATTGCATGTCAGAGCTACCGGCTGGTCATCCGGTCGGCTGGTCATCCGGTCGGCTGGTCATCCAGTCAGCTGGTCAGCCGGTTGCTTAGGCTTTTATATTTATATATATATATATATGTGTGTGTGTGTGTGTTTATATCAGTATATATAAATACAGATGGATTTATATCTCAAGTGGAAGATTGTTTCTTTGGCACAAAAAGCAGAATGCAAAAGTTAAAAACTACTTATATTGATGCTATTGGAAAATAAGGTTTTATTTTCTTTATGATGAATTGTTCTAGTGATATGGAACAGTTAAGGGATTAAGGGCACATGTCTAGAATCTGACTGCCTGGGGTTGATTCCTAGCTCTACTATTTTAATATTGGAAAGCACTTAGAATTATAAAGTTTTCACGTACAGCATCTATAATAATAAAAGGGCAATATGCTAATTAGACCGGATGTCCTTCCGGACGTCATTCCGGACATCCTTCCAGATGAAGCCTGGGTCCCAGGTGCCTGCCGGCAGCTAGAGGGAAGCCCGGGTCCCAGGTGCCAGAGGGAAGCTGGTGCCGGCAACCAGAGGAAGGAAGGCCTACTCTTGCACGAATTTTGTGCATCAGGCCTCTAGTATAAGAACTATCTACACTAGAATTTGATAAATGAAATAAAGCACCTGGCACATAATAGATACTCATTAAATGGTAAGTATCATGTAGCATAGCTATTTGTTTATTAAGGAAAAATGAGGTTGATATTCTGGTAAAATTAGTTATAATAATTATTTATTTTTTAATGTTGGCACAGATTATTGAGAGGGGAGCAAAGTGGCCAAGCCAGATTAAGGCAATGTTTGTAGGAGTCCCTTCAATCTCCAGAAAACAGGCCTATCAAATCACTATTCTAACAGTTTCTCAGGAGAAAATTCAATTTGGGACCCACTAGCATAAATTTAGGGGGTCTGTTTAAATTGCTAGCAGGGATATGATGCTTTTGCCTTCCTCTTTAGCATATTCATGCAAACTAGCTTTCTTGCTAAGGAGGAAACTGAGGGACTTGAGGGGTGCATGACTCTGGTTTATGAGTCAGGATAAAGCTTCTCAGATCGTTGGGGGAAAAATCAGCAAGTCAGAAAGAAAAAAGATTCAAGGAGATAGGAGGCAATAAAAACCAGTTCCAAGAGGTTAACATGGGGCAGAACCTGCCACAAAATAGAAAGGAGTAGAAATTTAGTATAGTTCATTGTGAATTCATACATTCTAGGGATGGCTTGATATTCCTTGCTTCAGAGACAAGGGTGGTGGTGGGGGGACATGGTCAATAGCAGGTGTTTGGAATCAAGTTACCACTTCTTGGAGGAAGAGAAAAATAGGGTAGTATGTAGCTACTTAATGAAATTCGGAGTATGGTATGAATCTATGGGCCTAAAATTGAATTGTCATTTGGAATGTGTCCTCCCTTCCTGTCTTAAGCACCTAAAATGTATCAGTAAACTTGACAAGATATAGTGAAACTTACCAACTGTTCTCCTCAGAGAAAGATTTATATAGCAGGATTGAGGGAACCAGAAGAAACCTAGAACATAGTTTTAGTGACTTGGAGGTTTGAGGAGGAAAACTGGAAGACTAAGGGGAACACAGATGGATTTAGAACTCAAGGAGAAGGGTTATATGTCCTATATTTAGTTACTTTATTGTATATCAGGCCTGAGAAATTTGGACTTTTTATTTTTTGACAGTATAGCCTACAAAGTAGTTTAAACATTTTTTGGTGGCAGAGTATTGTAGTTAGTTCATATCAGCTCACAAGAGGAAAAGAGGGGTGAGGATGGAAGGGACACTTGGAACACACAATACAATATACAGATGATGTATCATAGAATTGTACACTTGAAACCTAATAATTTTATTAACCAGTATCACCCCAATAAATTTAACAACAAAAATTAAATTATATAAACATGCAAATATATATAAAGGTTATGAAAACACATCATTTTGCTACATCTTTCTATTTTCTTGAGGTTATTGACATTTATTGTATTTATATTGAGGAAACACCAAAGAACAGAAAGCTGTTACACATCTCTTCTAAATTTTGTGTTCAGTAACATCGAGTTGCTAGTTGAAATTGGTTGAAGTGGGAGCATTTATTCCACAGATATCAGTTAACACTACATATTAGGCACCTTCTCCCCCCTCCTAGCTGGCTGTTAAACCTTTATCAACACATCACTGCAAACTTAACAGACTACCACAATGCTGATCCTTACCTTAATACTATCACTTTAATTGCCATTTGTAGCATTTCAGAAATATATTTAGAACATGATTTGCCAGCAGTTAGCATTATTAGAGATCCACATTGCTTAATTAGGCCTTCTGTGCCATCTCAGATAGGTCATTAAATTGCCCCATTTTATTTTCTTTCAAATCCAGAAAGATCATGTTTCCTCTTGTTTGGAGAAACGAATCATCAACTTCCATTTCTGACTTACCAAAACTTTTGTTATTCCTACTCTGAATTTATCTCTTTACATTAATTTATAAAAATTGTTTTTGATCACTGAGCTCATTTCTTTTCAACTCAACTATTTTCTAGTCTATCCCCCACCCCAACCTATGTGCAAGAGGCCACATTGATAAAAGGATAACAGTGGTGAAAAGTCTCTCTGGAAATCAAAGGGAAGTTTAAACTTTCCAAGAGGAAAACTATAAGAAGGAGTCAAAAGAAAGGAGGGGCATTGTTGCCTAATGGTTCAGGGCATAGGCTCTGAAGTCATACTCCTAGAATCCCAATTACATCTCAGCCAATTACTACTGTGAGACTTTGACAAGTTACATAACCTCTCTGTGATTTAGTTTTCATCTCTATAAAATGAGGATAATAATTGAATCCATTTCTTATAGATGTGCAATAATAAATGTAATGAATGTAAACATGCAGATAATTACCTGGTACATGATAGGTATAATGTAAGTATTTATAGCTATTTTCTCTTCATATACAAAGGATGGTTTTCTACCCCCCAAAACAACAGGAAGGTGGGCCTGTCATTTCTTACACACTTTCAGTCAAGACTCTGTTTAGTTAATAATATCTAAGGTAGTTCATATATTTATTCTATAGAAAAATTTAAACTTTGGAGCAAGTGTGTCCCAAACTACTATTCCTCAAGGTTTAATTACTCACACATTACATAAGCTGTTGCAGTTGGAAAATGGGCAAGCATAATGGTACTGGCCAATATATATAATCTATCTGAATGTGCTGCCTACAAATCAGTTGTACAGTGACCTACTTGGATCGTTTAAGAGAGCCAACTAAATGACATCCTGGTGTGAGCAGGTGGTTATTTGGCCATATGTAGACAAAGCCCTTGGGATGACCCAAAAGAGACTTGTCCTAAAGCATATAATGCTAATATTTAAAAATATGATTAAAGAACTGTGAATCCTTATTTAATACTTATTATATAATTAAGTATACAAGATCCCAATGGAGTTGTCCCTATTCTTTCACATTTCTCTACTATCTAGTGACTGAGAAGTAATTATGGGTGAGAATAATTTGATTTGAGGTTTTATATGTAACCAAAACATAAAGCAAAGGACAATTTAGTGGTGTTTCATGAAATACTAATGACAATGGCAAATGTACTATTTACTTTTGTTCTAGGCTATTAAGAAACCCATTAGCTGCAACTAAAATTTGTTTTTATACTCTTCTTATTTAGAGATTATGATTATTAGCTTGTCTTGAGTATATCTGGCTTCCTGGGTGATATGTTTCCATAGGAGGAAAATTATAGACCCTTTTGCACTAAGTTGTACAAAACACAAATCTCATACATTGTTATTCCAATCATATAACTATCACCTGACCAAGTTTAGATATGCAAATAGTGGGCCAACTCATTATCATTATTGTTTTGTAATGATAATATAAGATTTTTTATTCTGATACCAACTCTCAACTTTTTGTGGTAACGAGCAAAAATACCTTGGATAATGAAAAACATAGATAAGGAAAACTCCACTTAGTCAATGATTTGGGGGCTGATTTATAAATACAGCCAGTATGACTCATGTGCACGTGTGGATGACTTAGGAGGTGTTAGTTATATTATTTATATGGAGGCTATTCTCTTCCACCAGACATTTCGGAGACATAATCAGAATTAAATAAATTATTTAATTTGTTTCACCTGTAGGGTTCTCTCATTATTTCTTTATTCTTCATCAACTAGTCACTTAAATGTAGGGAGAAATATTTTTCAAATATGAATACTGTATAGAGATATGGCAAAGGCCCTGAAAAAAAACACAGAGCTATCAATTTAATGTCATTACATATTACAATTTTAATCTTAGGTGACTCAACATCTTTCTTGTGAGTTAAAGCTAAGTGTTTGTTTCAGAATCTCAGGTGTGTGTGTGCACATGTGCACATACCCACAGGAGTACTCTGAGTGGTGTCTTACAATAACCCATGATCTTGTCATTGTCCTGTGAAAGGTTGACGATATTACTAGTAATATGATATCAGGGATTGCTAATTCTCTACGAGACAATCTATAAAACCTGCTCTAGGAATAGGCACATTACTAACTATGCCCTCTTCCTATCTATGCCTTTGTCTTATTTTTTGCACCTCCTTTCCTATTTCTCTGTCTGCAGACTTTCATTTCTGTGCATGTGTTTGTCCTGTCCTGATATGGGAGGACTTACCTACATGGCTGGTTCAGGAAGCAGACATGTAAAAAAGTGTGTGAAATGTGTGCCCTCCTGCCATATCAGTCTGATTTTTCTGAAGAGATGTCATCTGTGTGCAAGAGGGCTTTTGATGGCTCAGTTTGTATCTCACTGACACAGGATGATGCATCCAGCTATAATCATACACATTAGGGCAAGAAACACCAAATTGTTGCATACAGACAAATAATTAAATAAAATAACAAACAATACCTAAAGGGGACAAAATTAGAGTCCACAATAAATAAATTGCTGTTTCTTTCTCATTCTTCTCACTCCCAGCCAGGAAAAAATACATATCCATTGTTGTATCATGATAAGGGACAGCAATCAAAATAAACTTCTGTGTTTACCTAGGGAAAAGAGGACCAAGTGGGAAATCAGAAAATGTATGAGCTAAAGGATTGACTGGAAGCAACTGTCTCATTTTTCCAACAGAAAGTGAGACACATGCATTGGGAAAACTGATTTTAGATTATGGTTCAAAAGTAATTCAGTGGAGAAAGTCTTTTTAACAAATGGTACTGGACAATTAGAAGTTTATATCCATTCCTCCAAAGGAACTTCAATCTGTACCTTGCACTATATACAAAAATCAAGTCAGGCCCTGCCAAGGTAGCTGAGTTGGTTAGACTATCTTCCCAGTATGCCCAAATTGTGGGTTCAGTCTCCAGTCAGGACACATACAAGAAGCAACCAATGAATGCACAAATAAGTGGAACAACAAGTAAATGGGGTTTTTCTCTCTCTCTCTTCCCTCCCTCCCTCTCTAAATTCAATAAAAATTTAGAAAGGGTCATAAATTTAAATATAAGACCTAAACTATAAAACTTTTAAAAAAATAGAGAAAATCTTTGTGATCTCATGTTAGGCAAATATTTCTTCAACATGACAGCAAAGACACAATCCATAAAAATTGAGCTTTATCAAAATGAGAAAACAGCAGCTCTTCAAAAGGCACTCTTAGGCAAATGAAAAGAAAGCCGCAGACTGGGGGAAAAGACTTAAAATGCACGACTTGTATCCAGCACATATAAATAACTCTCAAAACTCAATACTGGGGAAACCAAAAACGTAATAATGATATACAGATGTCAAATAAGCACTTAAAAAGATGCTCAACATTATGAATTAGGGAAATTCAAATTCAAACCACTGTGAGAATGGCTAAAATTAAAAAAAAAACACTAATTGTTTTTTTTAAAGTATATGGATATACTAGAACTCTGATACACGGCCAATGGGAATGTAAAATGGTACAACCATTTTGAGAAACAGCTGGTTGTTGTTTTTTAAGTTAAGCATTCACATACCATATGATTCAGCCACTCTACTCCTCCTAAGGGGAAAAAATAGGGTGTGATCATACAAAGACCTATGACAAATGTTCATAGCAACATTATTTGTAATAGTCTGAACTGAAAGTAATCCAAGTATTTATGAATAGGCTAAAAGATAAAGAAACTGTGATATATAATAACGTAGGTGAATTTCAAAATAATTATGCGGAGTAACAGAAAATAGACAAAAAAGAGTACTTTTTAATTTCATTTTTATAGTACATTTATATTATGAACAAATTTATAGGGACAGAAAGTAAATCAGTGATGGCCAAGGGATGAGGCAGCAGTGGGAGAGTGGGGAGAGGAGTGGAAGGGAGGAGCATGAGAAAACTATTGGAAACAATTATTATTATTTTGATTGTGTTGGTGGTTTCATGGGCTATATATATTTGTCAAAATGTATAAAATTTTGATTATACCTCAAAAAAACTAAAATTATGCATTTTGACTTTGCCAAATGTTATTTTCTTACATGAGACATTTTATTGTAAGAGATAAGCAATAATTCTGTCAATGGACCAGTTACAAGGCATTACAGATTGTTTTACATTTTTTATTATGAAAACAATGATAAGGTCTCTGAAAAGTTTATTGCTATAGAATAAATTTTATTTAATTTTTTTTATTCCATTATCAAACAAGGAAATCCAGCTAGAAAGCAAGTTTGTAAAACATAATGATTTTGTAAGAATTATGGAAGATACTTTGGCTTATTGCCAGTTCTGCAGTGCACAATGTTATATGAAATAAATGAAAATAAAATCTAAAAGGATGCTATGCTTAAATTCGCATTTTAATTCTTAACAAGTTTACATGAGCATCGTGTAGACCTTTGGACACCTGGAAGATTTATGAATAAACTTAACTTGGCAAACATAATTATAATTTGAAACAAATGGGGCTAGGTCATGACACACTGACTTAGATTCAGTGATTGACTACCTGGACCTATTATGCTGTTAATAGGAACTTAACAGAGAGAAATTATTTTTTTTTCCTCCTAAAGATAATAGGCACAGAAGACGCTATTACTAGAGAGATTTAAGTCTCAGTGGAGAAAGCTGAATGGAGGTATTTACATTTAACTAATAGGAAACACTGGGCAGGAGCCAAGTTCCTTGAGTCTTATCTATAGTCATTTTTAAGGACACCTTCTTCTCATCTGTCCCCTCAAATCTTCCAAGTTTTTTATTAATGGTATGTGAAAGGAAGGAAAACAAATCACTGAAAGCAGAATATTTACAACTTTCCCACAGTAACTTGTCAAGGCAACCAGTGTTACAACCCACTACCATGCCAGTTCTAAACCTCTGTTGAATTGGTGATAATAAATTATATAGCCTGGAGATTAAGAATTCAATGCAGTTACTAAACTCCTTTCACAAAATCTTTATATTACTTTTAAACTGAAATTATGCAATAAAAATAATTATGACTAGTATTTTTCAGGTATATAGAACATATGTTGCGAAGCATCCTGCTGTACACTTTATAACATTTAAATTTAACCTTTACAAGGTCTGTATTGTTATTTCATCTTCTTTTTATAGAGAAGGAACTCAGGCACAGAGTTAAGTAATTTACTCTTGGTAACATTGTTACTGAGTTGCAGAATTATGATGCGAACCCAGATCTTTGATTTTCAGCCACATACCTTTCCCACAATGTGATTCTTCATTTTGTCTACATACTTAAGTAAATACCCTTTGATACTTTGGGTCAATCAGGAGGAAGATATACAAATGATTATCCATGAAAAGTGTTTCTGGGCTGTGGGTAAAAAGCTAAATCATGTAAAAAATCTGAGTTGAGGTAGATGTGGACACCTACTAAATATGAGAGAGGGTACAACTTCCGTAAGATACTTTTTCCTTAGTATTAGGTCTTGTATAGCATGACAAATGATAGCATCACTACTATTTTCTTTGATAATAATAAAAACGTACTTTTTAAAGATGTATATTTCACTTCTAGGTAAATTTAGATTATGGTGGTGGTTGGACAACACTGAATACACTAAGATGCATTGTATTGTACACTTTAAATAGGTGAATTGTATGTTATGTGAATTATATCTCAAAGTTGTTTTAAAAAGATAACCACATAAACAGTGTGTATATAATCAACCTTGATCAAAGTAATCTGAAAAACAAGTTTCTCTTAAAAATTGAAAACAAATAAGACTAACTAGATATCAAGTTGGTAGGTTAGTCACACAAAAAATAAATCTTTCAAGTATCTATAAAACTCAATAATTTGGATGTACATTCCCAGGAGTTATAGCCTTAAGACAGAAAGAAAAAAAAGAAAAGTAAAAGATATTTCATAATTATATTGGTCATTCTATTTTATAATTAATATGTCTATGTATCAAGTTCTAATGTCATTTGTTAACTTAATTTTTTACCCATAAATATGTTCATGTTTTTAGGAATTATTATTTTAGAGTAAGTGAAAAGAGATACAGAGAGGAGGACATAGAACAGGAAGAAGAGATAGAGAAAGGAATGAAATGATAAGAACTCTTGGTAAGACAAAGGGGTATGGGGACTAAGGATCATAAAAACAATAAAATATAAGATTTGCAAATAAATTTGCTGTTTATAAGGAACAATAATATATGTTATCTAATCTTTTTAACACCAGCTAATGGTATTTTATTATCTACATTATATGGATGAGGAAATATGGATGGGGCTGAAAGATTGTAACTTGTTCATTATTTTTCTATGAAAAATAGTTACTGAATGTACACTGCATGCCAGTCACTATGCTAAGTGCTAGAAATATAATTGTTCACAAAACAAACATATTATCTGCCCTTATAACTTATAGTCTGGTAGAGGAGAAAAATATTATTAAAATAATCATAAAAGCAACTGAAAAACTGCAACAAATTCAAGGAACATGGTACTATGAAAACACTGAAAGAAAGATTTGATCTAGTCAGGTAATTCTGATTACAGGTTTTTAGACAAACTGCACAGTTACCTTGCTTAAATCTGTCTTATGAATATATTTCACC